TCTGCTGTTTAAGCAGGTAGATCGGATTTTTTTACTGGTCAATGCGAGTTGCACATCATTAAAAACCATAGTGAATGACGTCAACACTGATGCTTTCATTTTGGAACAGACTTCAGCTGGAGTAAAACACGAGGACTAAAAAAGCTTCTATATTGTTATGTAGCACAGTATTTAAGCATGTTAATGAGACAGCGTGAGCACAACATCCGCCACATAAACAATAATAACCAATATAAAACTATTACACACAAAACGTGCATGAATCACTCTATGGACATGACAATAAAATCCCTACCAGTTTATGAAAGCCTCAAATAGAAGAATATGGACAAATGAGAACTTTTCTTTCATAAACTATAGTAAAACAACTTGTCAAAATGAAAATAAAATAATGAGCCCCTGCGAACAGATTAAATACAGGAATTAAGAAAAGAGCGCTCTATAATTGTCAGCTGTCAGTTGCTCTTTTATCCTGGTCATTGTGCCTTTGCCGTGTGCTGTGTAAATACAGACTTCTTGGTATATCAGAATCTTATAGATTTCTTTTACCACAATAATGAGATACCTTATTTTTTCAGTTTTAGTTTTTTGATTACTGAACTTTGAGAATAACTTTTTTTAAATACTGTAAATAGTAAGCATGGGACGATAACCACTTTCAAGGTATATTTAAAAATCATTCAAGGTTTTAAAACCTTTTGCTGTATCATTCCTAAGGTACAGAATGTGAATTGTTTTTTTTTTTTTATGGTTTTTTTTTTTTGGACTCTCCAACAGAAAAGATATTCAAAGATGTCATTTTAAATTGTAAAGAAATCTGTGTAGACATCAGAAGTCAATGATTCATTTGAATTATTTAGCCTGACATGTTTACTGCTCCAAAATATTTTAAATATTTCTCCAAATAAAATATATTGTGTTCAAAGGGGATTCATGTTTTTGTTTTTTACCCAGAAATTTAAAAAATATATATTTTAAAGCAGTATTGTGGTACCATAAAGCCGTATTATTATTTTTTTCAGGGTTATCATACCATCAGATTCTTATACCGCCCCATGCCTAGAAAATGGTAGAATAAAAGTTTATGTATTTTATGCTGATGTATCTTATTGCTAGGGGTGACACGGTGGCTCAGTGGTTAGCACTGTCGCCTCAAAGCAAGAAGGTTGCTGGTTTGAGTCACGACCAGTTGACATTTCTGTGTGGAGTTTGCATGTTCTCCCCATGTTCGCTTGGGCTTCCTCCGGGTGCTCCGGTTTCTCCCACAGTTCAAAGTCATGCACTATGGGTGAACTGAATAAACTAAATTGGCCGTAGTGTATGGAGGTTTCCCAGAGTTTGGTTGCAGTTAGAAGGGCATCCGCTGTGTAAAATATATGCTGGATATGTGGTGACCCCTAATGAATTAAGATTCTAAGCTGAAGGATAATGAATAAATGAGTGAATGTTATTTCTAAGACTTACAATTGAGGTTTATTTAATTGTTTATTTTAATTTAATTATTTTTTTTAAACCAAACTGCCAATTTTGTGAACTGTTCCACCCCTAATGTTTGTGTTATAGATTGTTGAATATCCTCTGTGGTGGACTGTGCTATTATTTGAACCACAATCCAATACATTCATCGTCTTGCGATTTCAATACAAATTCATAATCACACAGAATGTAAGCTGTGACTTTCTCTATCTTGAACCAAAAGTAAGCCGATTGTCAAATTCTGAATTTGCGCCAATAAGTCCTGAGTAATGTGTTGTTTATCTGTGCGTGCAGCGGTGGCTTGTGAGCGGCTGTAGTGCGTCTGGGTTAGGTGTAGTGTGGGTAATGGGCAGCTCTGCAAAACACAGGCGAGTCTCTGACAGTCACTCTGAGAGAGGAGCTGGCTCCATTAACAGCCCTATTCACCCGGCTTAAGCTACTCTGTCAGCCACTTCAGAACCATTAAAGCTCTGCTGGGAGCGAGACGCCGAGAACGAGGGAGACACAAGGAGACAGAGAGAGAGAGAAGAATGAGGAAAAATAGAAGCAGGGGGAAGCTCTCCGAGGAGCTGAGTGATGGTATAAATAGTTGGAGTTGTAGAGGTAAATTATTCCTAAAGACATTAAACAGTTGTGAAGCTAAGCTCTCCGTCTCTCTCTCTCCCTCTCTCTCTCTCTTTCTGGTGCTTCTTGTTCTTTACCACGGTCGTCTCATATTTATGCCTGCGCTGGATTGCCGCTTCTTCTGGAAAGGGCTGACAACACAAATATCTGTTATGTGTCTGATATAATGAAGCTCAAGAATGTGTCATCATTTGTATTTCTGCAGTTTTCGCAGCAGATTTATCTTAGACTTTTTTTTCCGTGATCCTTGGAGCGACGGTGGCATCTAGAAGAGAGCATGAGTGAAACTGATTCCATTTTGCATTGTTTTCTGATTTAATACATTTCAAGTTACATTTATTTATAGCCATCTTGAAGGACGAATGATCTACAATGCCAGGAATATTTCATCGTCTATGAAGATTCATTATTAATAATGACAGACAGACAGACAGACAGACAGACAGACAGATATATAGATAGATAGATAGATAGATAGATAGATAGATAGATAGATAGATAGATAGATAGATAGATAGATAGATAGATAGATAGATAGATAGATAGATAGATAGATAGATAGATAGATAGATAGATAGATAGATAGATAGATAGATAGATAGGATGGCAGGCAGACAGACAGACAGACAGACAGACACATAGATAGACACAATGATAGACACATAAGCCTTTTTCACACATACAGACCTTTCCAGAAAATTACCAGCAATTGAAGAGGCCTTTTTTTTAAATACTGGTAAATTTGTTCCAGCAATTTTCCGGAAAGAGTAGTTGTAACATTATCAGTAATTTGCCGGGATGCTGCGCTGTGCAAATGCAGAAAAAAGAGTGCCGTAAAGAGCGCATTTACATCTAGAACATGCTGACGTGAGACATCTACTTTAGCCTATCAGAACACTCAGACGCATTCACATCCACGCAGTTTATGAAAATAAAAACCTTTGAATATTTGTCCAAACACATTTAGCTGCTAGATGTTAGTCAGATAACATTTCATGTTCTTTCTTAATGCCAACTGTGTAAAATATTACAGATAAAATCCTCATTATAAATCACGGTTTGTTTACCTTCAAGTTCTGTCTCAGTTGCCTGACGCATGTGCACGTAAAGGAGCCGGCGACGGTCAGCTCACACACATATTATGAACATCTCGACATGTGAAAGTGTTTCTCCATGTTTTCATATAAGTTGTTCACAATACTTTTGCATCCACATAATTTGAAATGTAATCAAGTGTGTAAACATTTAGCTGTGGTTCGTGTTTCTGCCTTTAGATGTCTCACAAAGCAGCTGCATGAATGCTAAAGCTTTAAATAAAAGTGAAACCATCAAGAAAAAGCTGACTCCTTCTATGTTGACTAATACAAGCGCTGCCGTTTAGAGGTCATTTCTGGTTAATGATTTCAGAATTTACCGATATTTTGGAATGGATGTGTGAACGGTCTTTTCCGAAAAAATTCTGACAGATAGATACAGACAGACAGACAGACAGACAGACAGACAGACAGACAGATAGATAGACAGGCAGACAGACAGACAGACAGACAGATTGACAGACACATAGATAGGCAGGCAGACAGATAGACAGGCAGACAGATAGATAGCTTAAAGTGCAATTTAAAGGCTTAACTAGGTTAATTAAGTTGATTAGGGAAGTTAGGGTAATTAGGCAAATCATTGTTTAATCAATGGTTTGTTCTGTAGACAATCGAAAAAAAAAATTGCTTAAGGGGCCGAACGCGCTTTTTGCTTTTAACAACTATGAATGTTTTGGGCGCTGCTTATGCCCCCTGCATGCCTGGTTTTTTAATCGCATTGATCACTCGCAGTTGAAAAAACTCAATGGAGATGATCACACCAAATGCTTCAGGGGCTAACAGTATTGATCTTTAAATGGTTTTTAAATAAATTTAAAACTGCTTTTATTCTAGCCGAAATAAAACAAATAAACCTTTCTTCTGAAGAAAAAATATTAGAGCAAATACTGTGAAAAATGTCTTGCTCTGTTTAACATTATTTTGGAAAATATTTGAAAAAAAAGAAAGAAAAAAATCACTGGAGGGCTGATACATTTGACTTTAACTTTAGATAGATTTAAATTATGAATAATAACGATAGTGATTTTTAAATGATTCATCTTAATAATAATAATAATATTTACGCTATGAATGAATGAATGAATTTTTTTTAAATGAAACTTCGAATTTCAGCATTTCTAATAAGATTAAATATGAATAACTATTAAGAAAAAAAAATCTCATTATTATTGATCCAAAAAATCCCTTTTCTTCCATATTCTTTTATAAAGTCTTATTACCGCTTTGCCATCTTTGACCTTAGTCAAAAAAAAAAATTTGAAGAACCATTCCCAGCTCCTGAATGGCCCTTCATAATCAATGTCGGCCCTTAAACTTGGAGAGTATGAAAGAAGCAGGCATCGGGCTACTTGTCTAAGTACATTTACACAAAACTCACATTACGGACGAGCTGTCAGTGAAGTGTAGCGGTTCATTTTTATGTGTCTCAGGCACTAATGCATTTTTTTCCCCTCTGCGCTCTGTCGTAAATGCTGATTGATTGAGTGAGAAGTCAATCCCAGCCTGCTGTTCGCTAGCCCACCACTGGGCTTTCACAAAGATTTTAAATTAGAGACAGCTTTACTTGAAAGATACATTATTGATTGGCCATAGATACTGAAAGCACTGTTTTTTTTTTTAGAGAGAGAAGAGAAACTAAGGCAATAAGTCTAAGTCTTCTTAACCTCATCCATTATGAAACATAAAGACCCTCCTATTCATTTTCCTTCAATGTACTAAGCAGCAAAATAAATGCAATCCAAATTCTGCTCTCTAAACACTAATTGAAGTCTAAAACTCTCTCGTTTTGTCTCCTCTCTCCAGGCTCAGACATGGCGGTGTTTTGTCTGCTATGCGGGAAGCGTTTCCAGACCCAGAAGGCTTTGCAGCAGCACATGGAGATTCATGCCGGCATGCGCAGCTACATCTGCAGCGAGTGTGAACGCACTTTCCCGAGCCACACAGCGCTCAAACGCCATCTCCGCTCGCACACAGGTGAGCTTCACCTGAACACCACTCACACTGCAGAGTCATCTAAAAGCACATTAACAACTTCACACCTCCATATAATGCAGAAAAGGCCAAGCGAGCCGCAAGCTGAGATTCTGTTCAGGAGGAGCATGCTCACATGGTCTTGTTAAGGTTATATAAACCTCTGGCTTAGCCTTAGAAAAGACTGATTTCTGTGTATTCACAAAAGCCAGGTACATATTCTTTCATTTAGGTGTTAAAAATACCTACTTGAACCTGTTTGAATATCTTTTTGTGCTGCATTAGAATGTGGTGATACTTGGTGACACAAAAGAATTGTTGTTTTGATTCATGATCAAGTCCATGTCAAATCAAAATGAACTGTTTTATTTTGCTAGCAGATATTGTTATTGTTTACATAAACAATTAATACAAGTTAATCCACAGAAAAAAAAAAACAATGTTTGTTTTGGTAATCTCCAATCAAAGTCTGACCATTTGCTTCCACATTTGGAATGGAGGTGTCACAGTTGGGGGGTGGGAAGAGGAGCAAGGACTCAAATGAATCAGAAGAAGGATTCATTAATAATAAAAATAAAACTAAAAGTCAACAAAACCACCCAGAGGGGAGAAAACATAATTAAAACACAAATAGGCTAACAAGCTTGGCTGAGAAGGGCTAGACAGGGCAAGACACGACAAGGCAAAGCATGAGTGAAACACGATGACCCATGTATGAAGGACATATAACGAACTGGCAGAGGATAGCAGACAAGAGGAGACTATAACCAGAAAGAATTAACAGACAAACAGGTGAACTGAATAAACTAATAATAGGTTAACAAAGAGGGTGGGACTAGAAAATAGACAGGATAGCACCCGACTTAAAAAGAAACAACACAAGTTAAAAGCTAGAACACGCAGCCAATGAGAGAACTCATTAACTGCGTGTTTACTTGAAACACAACACAAAAGCATGCGGCGCATGTAAAAATCAACCACTAGCTAAACACAGCACCAACAAAAGACTGAACACAAATGCACAATAAATAAAAACACTCACCGTGCACTCACACATGCAACCTGCAGGTTTCAGCTCAGTGCAAACTGAGACGCTGAGAATGAAACAGCATGCTACAGACAGAACAACAAACACCAGGAGGAGATGGGCTCATGGAACGCGCATGGCCCGAGCACAGCCAAGGCGGCACTCATACAATAACAATGACTGACAATGAAGGGAAATATGACTGCTCGACCCAAGAAAACTCAAGCTGAGCACAGCATACAAGATATGAGAGGACTAATGTCTGGACTCTGCCGCCAAAACAAGAATTAACAAGTGGCAGAATCCTGACAGGCGAGTTCTCTGTTTGTGTCAGTTTGACAGCTTTAGCTACAATATTCCTAACAACGCCCCTCTTACCATTAAGTTGCTATGAGGGAATAATGTGCAAAAAATAATCCCTGCCTCTACTTAATATTTTGTTTCAGATGAAAGTACATCAACAGACTGAAATAAAAGTCTTAGGAACTTCCAGGTCACACAGACCTTTGCAGTCAGAATTACCTGAGCATGGATATGTGAAATAGACTAAAAGTAAAACACAAAAATTATTTGAATGGTTTGCGGGTTGTAAACTTTAAATAAGGTAGTTTGCAGAAACAAAGTGCACAGCATTGAAGGAGAGACCGTCTAAAATCTATATCAGGAATGCAAAATAGATACTGACTCGCACATACAGTGAGAAATAAACTGGTAAGGCTGGATTAAAGTAAGATTTCAGTTATTAAAATAGTTAAATCCAGAATGTCTGCAGAAGATGTTTTGGATTATTACTGTGCATTCTTTATTCTTTTTGTTAGATTTCAATTTTAGCAATTTCTTAGCATTTCTAACATTATTTTAATATTTGATCATAATCATAATGTAAAACTTGATGTATATCTAACAAAAATATCTAAGCTTTGCCAAAAAAATATACCCCCCGAGCAGAGTCAAAGGACAGTAAGAGAATTTACAAAATCTTTTTATTTTCTAAAAATATTGTTCAGAAGGTCATGATTCACAGTCATTAAATATTTTCTTTGCATAGTTTTTCCTCTCACTCCACCCTTTTGACAGTCGTCTTAACTAACAACTTAATGTGATTGACTGTGGGTCAAAAGGGTGGAGTAAGAGGATTGTGTCACATACTGAGGAAGGCATTGTGTGAAATGTCTGTGTTTTGTATCACCTGAAGAAAGTAAATTAATGCACTAAAAAAAAGAATAAAGATTAAAGATTATTGCACTAAAAAAAACACACAAAAAAAAAAAACATGAGCACGCAGGACAAACTACATTACTTGACTTTATTTTATATTTATATATATATATATATATATATATATATATATATATATATATATATATATAAGCAAAATATTATTAAGTGTAAATATAAGCAAGCTCTATTTGCATCCATACACTTTTTCAATATAAACTTTCTTTAAAATAAAAATAAACATTGTTATAAAAGTTTTAAAAACTATAATAAACTAAAATGTAAGCACAACAATCTGTAGGTCTATGTACTCAGCAGTAAATACATGAGTATAATTTTTTTTCTAATGATTCTAAATTTATGTTTATTGAGAAAAATATACTCTTGCAACATAAGGCAATTATCTCTTATCAGTCCTGTTTTAAACTCTGACCAACAGCATTCAGTTGTATATTGGGGAAATTGGAGCATTAATTATTGCACTTCTTTTACAATACAAAATCAACATTCAGGAAAATGATTTAAACAAATTATAATTAATATCATATCACAACAATTGTGACATATTAAATATAAAATAATACAACAATCAGCCAAATTAACAACCCTTCAGTTTTTCCTTTACATGCTCTCCAAATACTGTAAAAAGCTACCCCATTTCTGATTGAAAGTATGGGTGGAGTCCTGAAGTCTTGCCAACATACGTTCATATGATGCAGTAGAAGTCATCAGCTCAATCCAATCCTTAAAATAGGGAGTATCTGAGTTTTTCCAATTTCGCAGCACCGGTCTCACAGCCATAATACATCTTGCAACGATGATTCCAGCCTGTGCTTTATATATCCCCTTCCGTAGAGTAGATGTATCACCAAAAAGACTCTTGGTGAATAAGGTAAAGGTTATTCCAGTCATTTCTTAAGGTTTTGAAGAACTCTTTTCCAGAATGGAGCCACCAAATGACAGTTCCACATTAAATGTAAAAAGATGCCCACAGAATGACCACATTTCCATCAGTGGTTATTTTTCACTAATCCTAGCCTATGCAGTCTTACTGGGGTCCAGTAATATCGATTAATTATCTTGTAATGTATAAGTTTACTTCTAGCGTCTCTCACAGTACTGTACCTTCTATAACAGAGACTACTGCTTCCCATTCATCCTCTTCAAATTCAACCTCCAAATCTTTCTCCTAATTGTTTGAGCTTTTTTCACAGTATTAGATTCAAATACTAGAAAAAAAAAGCCCTTACCTGCAGCCAGTCATGGACAAAAAAATTATAATATGTTTTATTTAAGATGCGCTTCTCTAAAACTCAAAAAGCTACTAGAAATATGACAACAAATAAAAATTCAGCCAGAATTACAAGCTTCTAGCATCCAAATGACAGTGATAATCATAAATTAAACACTTAACTAAAAAAATGAGTCTTAAGAATTTTCCTTAAGCAATCTAAAGTAAAGGCATTCCTAAATCAGTCAAAAGTGAACTAAAGTGACAGTTTAAAACATTGGATATAAACGCCAATGTGTCTCCTTTTTCTACTTTTGACCTGGTTTACCAAAAGCAACTTAATGCCAGGGTCAAACAAAGCCTTAGATCCTAATGCTAACAGTAAATTAACAGTAAATTTGTTGTGAGTTAAAGACAAACTAGCCATTATTTAAGAAAGTTACCACTCTGTTTATTGAATGCTAGCTACTGTATAATAGCCTTACACAGAAAGCTAGCATTCAACAAATACAGTGATAACTTTCTTAAATAAAGGCTAGTTTGTTTTTAACTCGCTCTTCACTGCCTAAAACTTATCTTCTGAATCACGATTCAATGGCAAGAACTTCTCAAACTTTGTCAAACCGGTGACTTCTTTCAGCTTGGTAACTTGTAAACAAAACTTCATCTCCCTACAGTCTGTGGGCGGCCCATCTGAGGCTCAGACTATCTTTTGACAGTCTTTTGTCTCTTTCTCTATATTCCTCACCTCCCCCTATCTCTCCAGCTTCCTTCAGGGTAACTTTAAGCTTAAAGTCAAGCCCCTCCATTACACACACAGTAAGTCAAACCTGACCTTTTTTTGCTATTCTCTACATGATGAGAATTTATATGGGAGAATTCGGTTAAAAATTTCCCAATAAAATGACATGAAAAAGAGAATTTAAGAGGAAGGAGGACTTTTGGTGAATTATAATGAGATGGAGAAAAACCTTCAAATATTTGCTGGTAAATATGTGTGAAGATCTTTTATTATTCGTTAGCACAGAATATTAGAGCACTCAGTTTCGAAAGGGATAGTTCAGCCAAAAATGAAAATATGCTCACTATTTATTCACTACAAAGGTGGTTTCAAACCTTTAGTCGTTTCTTTCTTCTGTTAAACACAAAAGAAGATATTTTGAAGAAAGCTGAAATCCTGGAACCATTGAGGTTTATAGCAGGAAAACCAAACACTATGGAAATCAACCATTACAGGTTTTCAACTTTCCTCAAAATGTTTTCTATTGTGTTCAACAGAAAAAACAAAAAACAAAACAAGTAATGGAGTGAGGAAATGATCAAACTATACCAAACACAATAATCTCTGTACTTGATAATATGACAAAATAAACAAAAAAGTCAATTCAAATTGTTTAACGGAGAGCACAAAATGGAGCTGCCAGATTTGCTTGCAAGAGAGCATCTTTCACTTGCTTTCGCTCTCGCTGTCTGACCTGAAATACCAGAAAGATTGTCAGAGACAGTTGAAGTCTAGACGCAACATGT